ATATTCTCAGTGTAGTTGGAAATTGTATGCAATTGCTGTTTAAATATATTTTTTCTTTCAGTTTTATTGAGATAAATTGACATATAACATGTATGAGTTTAAGATGTACAGCATAATATCTTACATATATTGTGAAATGGCTACCGCAATCAGTTTAGTTAACATCTGTCATCTCATATAGATACAAAAGAATCTGCTGTTTTGAGTGGTGTGTAGATATAAATTAGGTCCAGTTAGTTGTATTTTTCAAATAGCCTATTTATTACCAATTTTGTATTTGTTCTAACAATTACTGACAGAGGTGTGTTGAAATATCTGCTATAGCTATGGGTCTATTTCTCATTTTAGTTCTCCCAGTTTTTGCTTTATGTGTTTAATATTCTATTGGTGGTTACCTAGACATTGAATATCATTAAAGCTCCTTGATTAAACCTTTTATCCCTATTTCCCTCTTTATTTGTGATGGTATTTATTGTCCTGAAATCTGTTTGGTTTGTTATTAATATAGCCACTTCAATATTCTTTTGATTTGTATTTACATGGTGTGCCTTTTACCATTCTTTTATTTTTAACTTATCTATGTTTTACATTTAAAATGGATTTTTTGAGATGGCATATCGTTCAATATTGCTTTTTAAAAACAAGCTTAAAAATCTGTGCCTTTTAATTTGACTGTTTAAACCATTTATTATAAATATAATTATCAGTGTGATTTGGTTTGTGTCTACCATCTTGCTACTTGATTCTGTCTTACTTTTGTCTCTTTTCTCTTGGATTATGTATCTTTGTCAGTCTTCTATTTTTCCCTTCCCCTTTTAGCTGATTAGCTTTAATTCTGTTTTGAATCTTTTTGGTCTCAGGACCCCTTTGTACTCAAACAACCTCATGTTGAGTATCTCAAAGAACTTTATGTGGATTGCATCCACTGATATTTATTATATTAGAAATTAAAATCGAACAGTTAGAATATCAATTCTTTTAAAAATAAGCATTACAACCCATTATATAGTAACATAAAATGTTTTATTAAAAGCTATGTTTTTGAAAAAAAGAATATCTAGTGTATTTTTGTTCTGACTTTAAGTTTTTCTCTTTATTGCTGATTTTCAGCAGTTTGATTATGATGATCCTTGAGGTGATGGTGGTGATGGTGATGATAGTGGAAGTAGTGTGAGCACACATGTGTGTTTGGGTATGTGTTTATCTTCTTGGAGTGTTTGGAGCTTCTAAGACCTAGAGATTTGTAGTTTTCATCAAATTTGGAAACTATGCAGCCATTATTTCTTCAAATATTTTTGTCTCCCTCCCCTTTCTATATGACTGACACCCCAAATATGTGATGTTAGTTTATTTGATATTGTGCCTGTATTACTGAGGATTTTTTCTCTCTCTCTCTTTTTCCTTTAAAGAAAGTCTGTGCTTTGGTTTAGTTAGATTTAAACTCACTAATCTTTATTTCTCTGGTGTCTATCCTGCAGTTAATCTCATCTAGTAAAATTGTTCTAGTATATACTGTATAAGTATATGTTGTATGTTTTATTCCTAAAGTTACATTGGTTCTTTTTTAAAGATCTTGCTCTTGTTTTACCTTCATTATGTTCTTGTTTTCCTTTAAATACTTGTACATTGTTTGCTTGTTCTATCAAATCTTTGTTCTATCAAATCTTTCCTGTTGCAGTCAACAATTTTTCCTAATTATGTGTCAGAATTTTTTCTGCTACTTGGCATGTCTGGTAATATTGATTGAATGCTGGACATTGTGATATTACATATTTGAATGTCTTGATGTTGTCAGGCAATTATATTACTTGTGGATTAATTTGATCTCTTTGAGGCCTCTTTTTAAGCTTTGATGGGATGAATCTTTAGTACTTTCACTCTGGAGATAGGTCAGCCTTATCTCTAATGTGTGACTCCTCTGGGGTCTCCATGGGATGCTCTAGGTAATCACCAACAACTTTCCACTCTGACTGCTCTGAGTTCAAAATGTCTCTCCACTGACTCTAGAAATTGAACCCTGCTGTCACTCCACTCTGACTGGTCTGAGTTCAAAATGTCTCTCCACCCACTCTAGAAATAGAACCCTGCCATCATTCTTTGCCAAAGTTCATGTAGTGTCCCTTGATCTACGTACAGCCTATTGCACAGCAAAGATGCAAGTGGACCCCTATATAGATTTAGGGAGCTATTTTTCTACATAGTTTGCTTTATTCTGGAATCCTGCTTCACAACTTCCAACTGTCCCAGCTTCCTAAAATTCTGATCTCCTCCTCAACTCACAAAGTTGCCAGGATCTGTTCAGTTTTCACCTGTTTTTCCCGTAATCTGGAAATTGCCTCCAGACAGAATGCCAGGACAATCAGATGGCTTGCCTTATTTGTTTCTCTTTTCTCAGAGATCAGAGTCTTGTCCTGCTTGTTTTCCAAGACAGGTGTTTCATATATTTTGTCTAGTGTTTTAGATGTAAGAGGCTAAGTCTAGTTTTTATTACTCTATCATGGTTGGAGTCAGAAGTCTATTTTGATTTTTTAAGTATTTCTTAGGCCATGATACTCTCGGTTTCCTTGACCAATAATGACCCAAAATATAAGATGTTGCTGTGCTATTGTCTTCTAATCAGCCTTCCTGAACGACTTATAAGATGGCTGGCTGCAGCTAGAACTTCCATTGTGCAACATATAGAACATTGTGTCTTGTGTAGAATATTGTCTCCATGTGAAACTTATGGCCACACTCCAGGAGCTCTACATCTGAGAGATGTATCTGGAGCTTTATGCTTCAGATTCCAGATTTTAAATTATATCCCATCCCTAATTAAAAGATATATCACTGGAAACTTTTTAAAGCTATATTGAATTTCTCAATCCGTCTGTCTCCTCTGGCTTATGAACTTCTGCGTTTCATAAATCACCACTCATAGTAGATGACTCATGATTTGATAAACATGGGTTTAGATGCCTCAAGACTTCAACATAATAGGTGTTGGGTAAACATATGTGGTAACTCTACACTTAGAATTCCTTGGTTGAAGGACCAAATGATTCGCTAGCTTTTACTGTCAAGAATTAAGAAAATCCAAGTAAGAGTGGCCCAAAGCCCACTTGAAGTTTCTTGCCGAAAGAAAACTGACAAGATTATTTCCAGATTTGACTGGAGAAGAGGTTAGAACTGAAAGTAGCCATGAAGACCCTAAGGTCTCAAGTTGCTTTGAATTTACTTTTTCAAAAAACAGTGTTTAACTTTCAAACTGAGGGGAAGAACTGCAAGTGATTATTAAGGTTTCTCTTTTACCACCATACTCCTAAGCTTGGCCAGTACAAGGTATCTGGGGACTGAAGGAGGGAAGAATTAGGAAGAGGTGAGGAGCTAGGGTTGTGTGGGCCACCACCATGGCGTGGGCAGTTGTCCCACCGCATGTGAAATGAGTGTTTCAATCTAACCACAGTTCTACAAATAGATTATTTTGTGGTTTGGGGACCAAAGGCCTCAAGACATAGCTATTTAAATAATCATCAAATGATTTTTTTTTCCTGAGGTGGTTATAGAATTGGATCTGATTTATTTTTCCTTTTCAGTAAATGGATCCATAGACATTAACAACCAAACAGAATGATGTTTACATGCTGAAAAGTATGTCATAGGCTGTGGCATCTTGACTTTCTGGGTAATAATAACCAAAAGTTCCAGACAATAGAATACCTTTCAACTGGTAAAAAAGATGAAGTGGATCTGTATGTTCTAACAAGGGGAGAGATCAGAAATATATATTTAAAGAATGCATGTTCTAAATAATACCTATAATATTAAGATAATTCAATATTTGTATCTAAAAAATCTCTGTTCATACGTATAAATGGTATATAAGTAGCATTTTTAAGATAGCCTTAAAAATGATACATATGTTGGTATATAATAGGAGATATCTGGACAGAAACAACTACTAATGAATAGTTCCGTGTTCAAAGGGTTCACTTTTTGGGAGATGTATATTTATCTTTTATTTTGTATATACTTTTGGCCTCGTAGTTTATTTATTATTATTTTTTAAAGATTTTATTTATTTGACAGAGAGAGATCAGGCAGAGAGAGAGGGGGAAGAGAGAGAGGGGGAAGCAGGCTCCCCACTGAGCAGAGAGCCTGATGCAAGGCTACATCCCAGGACCCTGGGATCATGACCTGGGTGGAAGGCAGAGTTTTAACCCACAGAGCCACCCAGGGGCCCCTGGCCTAGTAGTTTAAAAAGCTCATATTTATTGAACATGTATTTTGAGCCCAGAACTATGATAAGCATTCCAAATATGTAGCATTATCTTATTTAGCCCTCCTAACTGCCCTAAAGTGTCTATACTGGAGGTGCCTAGAGGTGGCAAGTTGCCAAGAGAAGGGAGCCAAGTATTTGCCTTGAGGTATGTTTGCATACCAAGCACACTGTTGTTATACCAGTTTGGTGCTCATTTAGGATGACTTGGTAGGGGAAATGCTGCCAAGTAACACCTTGCTATTACTACCTCTCATAATAATCCAGAGAAGTAAGTACTACTATTATTCCCAATTTAGAGATGAGAAAATTGAGGCACAAATAGGTTAACTAATTTGCCCAATGCCTCACAGCTAGTAAATAGCAGAGGCAAGATTTGTATCCCTGTTAAAATGCATACTTGAGGCTCTTAATTTAGATTTGTTACAAGATAATAATAACTTGAATTTAAGTAATGATTTTTAAAAAATTCAGAAATTCAAGTGGCCAATTTAAAAAAAATGTAATTTTTAGTATATTCTGGAAACAGAGATGGGAAAAAATATTTTTGGAACATATTATCACTGGTAAAGGTGGATATCAAATTAGAACAAATTCCTAATATGTTAGGGAGTACTGCTACTAAAAGTCAAATGTGGCTTTCATTTGTACATTTTTACCAAAGATTAATTTATGTGACTGTTTGTTTTTATACACTCCCCCCCCCCCAACAGGAGAGATTTACAAATAGTGTTTGAGCATCATGGAGCCTTTAGGTTCTACATTAACGGCAACTTATGCCCACCCTAGACCAACACCAACCAACTTTCTACCAGCCATCAGTACTATGGCATCAAGCTATAGGGACCGCTTCCCCCACTACAATTTAACCCATACCTTGAGCCTTCCTTGGAGACCAAGCACATACTACAAAGTAGCCTCCAACTTGCCGACCTTGGGTCCGTACTGCACCAGATCTCAGAAGGTGTGCGAGAGTGCCATGCTTCCCTTTGTTTCCAATAGAACCACTCTCTTCACAAGGTATACTCCTGATGATTGGTACAGGTCCAACTTGACCAACTATCTAGAATCCAACACTTCCCGACATAATTCAGAGAGACTAAGGGTAGATACATCTCGCCTGATTCAAGACAAATATCAGCAAACAAGAAAAACTCAAGCAGACTCCACCCAGAATTTGGGAGAACGAGTCAATGACATAGGATTTTGGAAATCTGAAATCACTCATGAGTTGGATGCAATGATTGGAGAGACAAATGAACTCACTGATGTTAAGAAAAAATTGGAGAGGGCTTTGATGGAGACAGAAGCCCCTCTTCAGGTAAATATAAGACCTTATGATAAAAGACACTGGATATTTATATGATTATAATCCACTGGCTGAATTACTGTGGTTATTATCCGTCGAATTATGTTTCACTTCACCTATAGAAGCCAACATCCTATCAGTATATCTGTAACTACTTCCAGGAGTTGGTAAAACCATGACGAGCTTTATACATCCTACAGAACAACCATTTAAGTAGAATGAATTCTGAGTGCAAAGCAAAAAAGGTTAAACAGAGAGACACCCTTATAGTGAGAATGGCATCTTTCCATTTATTTAAAAGGCTGCTTGGGCATTGCTGTCCCTGGATTATTGTATATAATATTTGAGGGGAAAAAAGTGCTAGTCTTTTAATCTTTTAATCTGTGTCATGAAATGCCTCCTGTGTATATGTTATGATATCTTTTTAGAGCACAGTGAAATGATCAAGGAGACCACTTTAGGAGGTGGGGTGAGTTTGATTGAATAGAGTAATGGGCCTGAGGTTAAGCCAGATGTTGCAGTCGTGGAGGTAGCATGTTAGTTTGTTGCTGGCCTCTGGCCACCTCTCATCCCACTGAGTGTGTGATGCCTGGGGGGAGCTCCAACACCACTCTACCCACCACCATAAAAAGAAGACATTCTGTAGTTGAAGATACACAAATTACAGAAATTATTTCAGAAGGTATCTATATATTGATGAGGCAAACACCATTTTTCTTCATGTTTGTATGATATTTTCCATGTGATAAGCATTTGCAGTAGGTCTTCATTATGACATCTGTAGCAGAAGAGTTTAGAGAATTAAGCAGCTAGAAGTCTAGCGGGTTGAAGAGTTTGTTGGAGACCCTGCACATTGTTACTTCTTATTGTGCACACCCACCTCTTCCCCCCACAAAACACAATCACACGCAAGTACACACAACCACCAGAAATTCCAAGAAAGGACTTCTCAAATGATGTCCTTTTAAATTAACTCATCATGAGATGTTTTTCAGGATCAGAAACCCTTCCATACTTTCTTCATGCTCTGGCTTATATTGAGGAATCCTGGGCTGATCTGCACCCCACCTTACCCAGCCCACTTTAGAGTATCCTTAAAATGATAGCCACTTACCTTCTGAATTTTGGGGGGACATCATGTTTCTTCCTTTCATTATTCCTTTCAGTGAGACGGGTCTAATTTGTATTTTTTTCTGCAATTTTTGTCCAAATATTCTTCTGTGTTCAAATATTTACTATCAGCACAGTGTAGGAAGGTCCTGATTAAAATTTGAATTAGTCACATAAACAGATATATCTCAAGAGGGAAAATAAAGGTGATCAACTAATATGAGAAAAAAAGTGTTAAAATTCCCTAATAAAAATGAGAAATCAAGGAAATATCCATCTTTGGCCTAACATATTTGCAACGGTGGAAACTGATGACATCTAGAGTGGCCAAAGTGAAGAAGATGGATGCCTTTCTATGTTACTGGTAAGATGAGTAGAATCCTACTAGACCTTGGGTAAGTAGGAATTTGCAAAAAGCAGTTTAGGAATATACATGAAAATAATCAGAGTTCCCGTCAACCTATTAATTCATTTTCTTGTAAATGTGAATTTTTACTATTAAAAAATATACATTCATTCAAAGCTTTTGTTCAATAATATGATGTCCAGATTACAGTGTATGTACTATTACATTTTAGGCTGAAAACATTAACATTATCTGGTCACTCCAAGTCATGAAATAGTCTTTGAAAAAAGTATTTTAACTTTTGCATCATGTTCTTTCATAATCTATTGTTAGCCATCCAAGCTGTTTTCCACTTGAGTCATTAGCATATTTTGTCTCAGGGAATATTTTACGACTGGAGCCTACCATTTAATGTCAATCCTAAAAAACATAATATAAAATTGTAAAGGACATTATAACCTCTGTTTTGTTATAAACAACAAACAAAACAGTGATAGGACTATGGTTAAATCATTTTCTACTTTTCTATGTTTTTTTCTTTTTAATGGATAAAGCACATTATTTTTGTAATTAGGAAAATAATAAATGGTACTTAAAAGTAATCACTTGGATTTTTGGCTACACTAATATTTCGGCTTCTTTAAGGATAATAATTTGTTTCTTCCTCACTCTTCTCAGTAGAAAATGTTTGAAAATAATATCCTGGAGACCGTGTTTCAGGATATTATTTCTGTAGCAGAAATTAATGCTAAGTAATTTTCTCAGAAGTTAATTTGTAGGAATTAAGTCGATGCCAAATGCCTGATTTTGTCACCTTTCCAAATTAGATTTTTTTCCCAAACCACTTTGAAGGGTGAACTCTACCTCTTAACTAGCAATTAGGATTTACTTAGTTGTTTTGGTGGATCTCATGCTGGATTTTGGACAAAATGGCTTGAAAAGTTGGTAAGTTGGTATTGGGACTATCTATTGACTTGTTTTAGGAACAGATCCTTAGCACTGCTCATCACTGATTTTAGTTACTTTGTATTAGTGCTTTCCATTATTTGTGTATCTGTAGGTAGCCCGAGAATGTCTATTTCATCGAGAGAAGAGAATGGGGATCGATCTAGTTCACGATGAAGTAGAAACTGAATTGTTGACGGTAAGTACGGTCAACAACAAGAAATGTAGTTGCAAACATATGCTTAATGTATAGAAACAAACAAACGAAATTTGTGTTAGATGAAGCCATTTATAAGTAAGAAGTTTCAGTATAGTATCAATATGTTTATATTCATACAATATAGTATCAAATGTTTATAGCATTTAGAAAAGATTTTTTTGGGTTATAAAAGTAATAGATGTTCATTGAGAGAATTCAAAAGATACAGACTAGGATGACGAAAGATAAAAATCACCTGAATTTCAGTTGGACAGAAATCACTGTTAACTTTGGAGAATTTCAGTTTATTCAGAGAATTTCAGAGAATTTCTTTTTATTAATCATACTTACACACCACCCAACGTAAAGACACACAAATATGTCTTCAAGATTAGAATTATACTGTATACATAATTTGAGTGGTGCTTTTTTTGATGGGTAAATGCTCAATGAGGTTTATTCTTAAATACAGTTGTAGGGAAGACAGCCCCATTCCTTTTTAAACATTTTTTTTAAAGATTTATTTATTTATTTATTTATTTGACAGACAGAGGCCACAAGTAGGCAGAGAGGCAGGCAGAGACAGAGAGAGAGGGAAGCAGGGTTCCTGCTGAGCAGAGAGCCCGATGTGGGGCTCGATCCCAGGACCCCGGGATCATGACCTGAGCTGAAGGCAGAGGCTTTAACCCACTGAGCCACCCAGGCGCCCCCCCATTCCTTTTTAAAGAATTAATTTTTTTAGAGCAGTTTTAGAATCACAACAAAATTGAGGGTAAGGCATAGAGATTTGCCATATAGCCCCTACTATATGGGAACATATAGCCTCCCCCATGACCAACACCCCCCATCATTGATGAATCTACATTGGTACGTCATTGTCATCAAATCTGGAATGGGGATTAGGTATTGGTATTAAAAATATTCCCCAGATAATTTTAGTGAACAACTGGAGTTCAGAACCACTATAAAATATTGTTGGTAGGAATTAATGAAGACATCAATGAAAGGACAAATCATGTGTGTATATTTGAAGGCTTACATAGTGTTATGGTAGCAGTACTTCTCAACATGGACCATATATCCAACAGAATCCTTGTCAAACTCCCAGCTGACTTCTTTGTAAAAATTGACAAGCTGATCCTGAAATTGGTGTGGAAATTCAAGGGATTCAGAATAGCCAAAATAATACTGAAAAAGAAGAAATTCAGAGGACCCACACTTCTTTATTTAAAAACTTACTACAAAGCTACAATACATGAGACAGTAGTACTGGCAATAAAGATAGGCATATAGATCGATGGAATAGAATTTGAGAATCCAGAAATAAACCCTCCCTTTTACAATCAATTCGTCTTCAACAAGGGTGCCGAGATGAGTCAATGGGAAAGAAATGCTTTCATGAACAAACGGTGATGGGACAGTTGCATGTCTGTGTGCAAGAGATTGAAGTTGGACTTCGACATCCCACCCTATCTAAAAAATTGAATAAAAGTGGATCAAGGATTTAAATGTAAGAGCTACAATTGTAAGACTCTTAGAAGAAAACATAGGCATAAATACTGGTGACACTGGAGTCGGCAATCATTTCTTAAATCTGACACCAAAACACACAACGTAAGAAAAAAGAGATCAATTGATCATCATCAAAAGGACAAACTTTGATGCTTTAAAGAACGTCATCAACAAAGTGAAAAGACAGTCCATAGAATAGAAGGAAAATCTCAAATTATATATCTGATAAGGTTATCTATAATATATAAATAACTCTAAAAATTAAAGATAAAAAACCCCAAATAACCCAACAAAAACTAGGCAAAGGATCTGAACAGACAGTTCTCCAAAGTGAATATGCACATGGCTGATAAACACATTAAAAAAATGCTCATCATTAGTTCATCAGGGAGATGCAAATAAAGCCACAATGGAATACTACCTCACACCCCCACCCCTACCCAGGATGTCTATACTCAGAAACACAATAATAACAGGTGTTGGTGAGGATGTGCTGGTGTAGAGGTAAAATGATACACCTGTTTTGGAAAATCGTTAAAGATAGAGTGGCCATATGATTCAGTAGTTCTACTCCTATGTATCTGCCCAAGAGAAAAAAAAAAAAAGGACATGCCTGCACAAGAACTTATACACGAATGTCCATAGCATTATCCATAACAGCCATTTAGAAACAACGCAAATGTCTGTCAGCTGCTGAGTGATACATAAAATGTGGTATAGCCATACAATAGAATGTTATTTAACCATAAAAAGATGCTAAAACATTCTACTACATGGATGATCCTTGAAAATTTATGCTAAGTGAAGAAGTCAGCCACAAAGGACTGCACATTGCAGGATTCCATGTCCATGAAATGTCTGTATTAGGGAAGTCTATAGAGACTGAGAGTAGATTCGTGGTAGCCTAGGAGAATCAGGCTCCAGAGATTGGGAACTGGTTAACAGTGTAGGGGTATGTTGTTTCTTTGGGGTGTAATGAGGATGTTCTACCATTGGTTCTGGTGATGGTTTTATATACTAAAAAACCATTGAATTGTACAGTCAAATACATGAGCTCTATCATATATGAATTATATCTTAATAAATCTATTTTTTAAACAACCACCACCACCACTGCTTTAGAGGTTTAATATTTTTCTAGACCAGTAGCAGAGGTTACTTTATCTCAAAATAACTAAATCTACAGTTAAAGTAATAGTTTGTTAACTGAAAGGTACCTTGATCATTGCCAATTAATTCAAGTAATGAGTGTATCCTTAGCTTACTCAAAGTAGTGATATTAGCATATCTTTTTATTTAAACAATACTGGTCTAATTTTTTGGAATAACTAAATAAACATTGGCAAAGAAAGGAAGTAGCCTTAAAAGGCCTATTGTTGAAGAAGGTGGCCGCATTGAAATATTTTCTCATGAATTCTGTTGGCTTTCACATTCAATCAGTGATATTGCACCAAATTCTCACAGAATGGCTTCTCTTGGGGAATTGATCAGGGTACCCTCTTTTTTGGTCCTCCTAGACCAGGCTAACTCCTTGAACTTTTTTTTTTTTTAAAGATTTTTTATTTATTTATTTGACAGACAGAGATCACAAGCAGGCAGAGAGGCAGGCAGAGAGAGAGGAGGAAGCAGGTTCCCTGCTGAGCAGAGAGCCCGATGCGGGGCTCGATCCCAGGACCCTGAGATCATGACCTGAGCTGAAGGCAGTGGCTTAACCCACTGAGCCACCCAGGCGCCCCCTCCTTGAACTTTTTAAAGCCAAATGAATCTTGCATACAGATTAATAGATAGATTATTGTTGGAGACAATTCCAAAGGTCTTTGGTTGTAGGCATTCCCTATTTCCATGAACCCTTCTGCCCCTAACCATCTGACATTTATTCCATGGCATCATTTAAATTCAAATATAGTAATCATTGATCAATATTTTTAATCAATATTTTTTATAGCAAGAGTTTCATTAAATGCATTTCCCCCCCCCCCCCTACTAGTCCCAGAAATTCCCACTACATGCATTGTGTATGTGTAGTATAAAAGCTCACTAGGATTTTGGGTGTTAAGTAGTATTTTCCAAGCAGTATTCCACTCATCCTTTGGCAACACCTTAGTGAACTAGGTACACACACACACCCCCAAGCCGTAGAGAAAGACGAAGACTGAACAACACTAAAAGACTGATTGCACAGCTCACTATGAAAATGTGCAAAAAACCTTTGCTACCTGTAAGGGCAGGTGGAACCTTGATGACAACACGAGGTGGGAATGTGGTTTTTCACTTCATTAATTCAGAGGATCAAAGAATGAGTCAGTAGAGTTATCACTGAAATGAATTCCAGGCATATTTAATATTTTTATGTGAAGCAATAAAAGAATAAGAAGACTATATAGTTGAGCAGTAATTGATATTGGAGTGGAGAAGACCTTTATAATCAAATTAGCAAAAGTGGAGGTCAAAAGGGGATACTTAATAAATTTGACAGCATAGAGATTTTGGCTGTCTAAATATCAAACTCATGATGCAAAAATATAAAGGCAAGGTAGAAACTGGTTAAAAATGTACATATATTTTTATATTGTATATATTTATATCTACATTGATGACATCCATGATGGAAAAGATTGAATTTTAAATATAAGAATCCTTATAAAGTAGTAAGAAAAAAAACAACAGAAAAAGTGAAGAAGCAGGTAATTCACAAAAGAAGAAAGTCAAATGAGGAGCCAATACACAGTTAAAATATTAACCTGCAAATTTCAGGAGGTTTGTTGTTTGGGGGAGGGGTTCTATCACACTGGCAAAAATGGAGAGGATTTGGTAGTGATCGCTTAGTAGGTGAGGAGAGGAAGTGTACTCTCATTTATTGTTGTAAATGGGTACAACTTCTCTGAAGGACATTTGGCCGTATTTGTCAAAACCTTGGAAAAAAAACCATGCCTTTGGGTGGCATCTAAACATTTACTGAGGTGGTTCATCATGGTGTGTTTTAATGTCATGGGAAAATGTTCAGGTTTAAAATGAAAAGGTGGGGGCCCCTGGTTAAACGTCCCACTCTTGATCTCAGCTCCGGTCATGATCTCAGGGTTGGGAGATCGAGCCTGGATGGGCTTGCACTCAGCAGGGAGTCTGCTTGAGGTTCTCTTTCTCCCTTTCCTTCGGCCCCTGCCCCTGCACTCTTTAAATAAATAAATAAATAAAATCTTAAATAAAAATAAACAAGATGAAAAGGCAGGCCACAAAACCGTATGCATAGTGTGATCGCTCTGTGTTTGAAAAGTGAAAACAGTGACCATGTGCTCTTTCTAAACATCAGAGGGAAGTGAAGAGTGTTTACTTAAAACGTCTCTGACACAACACATGCTATGTAATAGTATATATCCTGGAGGCATCAGAATGCCCCGTGTGTGGTCGAGTAGAGGGGTACACAGCGGGGTTTGTGAGGGTAGGAGCTGAGCTGTCAGGCACAGGCAACAGAGGGAGGGCTGGCCTCCCAGTGTGGAAGTCAAGTTTCCATTTGGACCAAAGAGCTGGGTCTGTTGATATATGCATTGCCAGAGGGAAGTCCCTTTTTGGCTGCCCCCTTTCCTCCCCAGGGAAACTTTGTCTTGGAAGAATCGTTATTATAAAAAAAGCTTGCATCAAGTTCAGCCTTGCACATCACCAGAATTTATTTATTACCTTATTGTTATACTGTTTTTGTTAAGGGTCAGAGATCAAAACAAATCCTACAGTTTTACTCCTGTCCCAACTTGTTCCATAATATAATTTTCTTATAGCCCTAGAAAGGGGTGAACCTCAGTCTAATGTTTAGATTGCAGGACCATGAGGGTATAGAGGTAAGTAAGTGGGTGTAAAAATTGTTTTATTGTCTTACTTGACGTTTTTTTCCAGAAAGAGTTTTCCTTTGCTGATGTTTTGTTACATTGTTGGCTTTGGATGTTATACCTAATGATGAAAACATTAATGTGTGTGTGTGTGTGTTTTTTTTTTCAATCGAGTAGGAGGTTGATATTATTCTGTGTTGTCAAGAAAGGATGAAGCTGCATTTGGATAAGGCCATTGCTCAACTTGCGTAAGACCTTTCAATGTTTATACAATTTAAAATCTGTCTCAAAATTGTGTTTTTGTGCCTCCCACTCAAATTTCTCTTAGCTTCCTAGGTAAGGATTTCTTATATATAGATACACATACACACTCACACACACACACGTGCACATACACATTTTTATTTGGAGGTTAAGATGAGTACTTGGAGTGCTTGCTTTAACTTTTTAGCTAGAGAAGTAGTTTTGAGGGGTGCCTGGGTGGCTCAGTCGGTTAAGCATCAGACTCTTGGTTTCAGCTCAGGTCGCAATCTCAGTGTCGTAAGATCGAGCCCCAACGGGGGCTTCGTGCTCAGCATGGAGTCTGCTTGTGATTCCCTTGCCTTCTGCCTCGCCCCCGAATTGCGTGTGCACACATGTGTGCACACACTCTTTCTCAAATCAATCAGTAAATAAAATCTTAAAAAATAATTTTGAGCTGCTACAGAATTTCTGCCCTAACTTGCAGTATGGCTAAGATTAATTTCTTTTCTTTTTTTTTTAAGATTTTAATTTGAGAGCAAGAGTGAGAGGAGAGAGAGAGTGAGCATGCATGGGGGGAAGGAGTAGAGGGAGTGGGGAGAAACATACTCCCTGCTGAGCAAGGAGCCCAACACAGGACTCCATCCCAAGACCCTGGGATCATGACCCGAGCTGAAGGCAGATGCTTAACTGAATGAACCACCCAGGTGCCCTGGCTAAGATTTCTTTTAAACTCAAAAGACTTTCATTCTTTGAGGAGAGATTGACTTGTGTATATTCAGTCCAATAGCTGGAAAAGTAATGGGTTGTGGCTCACTTTTACGATTATTTCCATAACTCCTTAAAGACTCAGCCTTCTCTGATTTCCTAGGGACCCTGGTACCTGCTCCCTGGTGCTTTAGTTACACCAGTGCAGTACTGTAACTCTTCACCCATCCTACTCTCTCCCAAAATACAGATCCTTCTTTCCTTGGCAATAGTAGATAGTAGGCACTTAATATTTGTGATGGGGATTGGGGCGGGGAAGAATAATAATCAAAGGAAGGTCTTAGGCAATGATAACAGCTGTCAGCATCGAAAACACATTGGTCGAACCTCTTTCCCAACATGACTGGAAAGGTGAATGTTCATCTGGTTATGGCCATGGGAAGCAGCATCAAAATGTCACCGGAAGGAAAGCTCATACTGACACTGTCAAGGATAAGTTGTGAGAGAGACCCTGAAAGGAATAAATGTTACAGAGGTATCAGTTCTGCTTGCTTTGCCCACTGTGCCCATTGGATTGATGCTCTGCAGGTTGGTGAGGTTTAGCTGGCTGGGACCTCTCCCTCACTGTGATTGGAAGGGCTCTTTACTCTAGAAATGTTGAGGATAGGTAGAAGATTAGATAAGGATGACCGACTACACATGGTTTGGTTAACTACGATTTACCTGAGCTATAAATACAAGGCAGTGTTGTTCTGGCATTACTTTTTGGCTTCTGCTCCCTAGAAATCACAGAACCACAGTTAAGCGTGGTTCACAGAATGGTGTCTGTTCTATTTTCTTTGGGTCCAGTTCCCAATCTTATTTTCTTGTGTAACTTAAAATCTGCAACTCATCCTCCACGTTCTTCACTCTTCTTGCCCAGATTGTTCCATTGTGGAACAGCCACATCCTCATATCAGTCTCTGCTACAAACTGCCTCATTTTCTGCCCTATTTAGGTCTTTGCAGAAAGTTCTCACTCCACGTATGCACTTGTGTGGAACCTTTGTTGGTGAGCCTTTAAAGACCTGGGTTTTCATTTAATACATAGTCGATAAAATGCCTACCTCATTTCCTGGGGTGGTTTCTCCAGAATTTATGGGATCCTTAACATGGTCATTGAGCTTGGTCCAATGAAGGTGATGGGAGGAGGTTGTTCAATGCTATTTGCTTTGGAACACACAACGAAGGCCTCAGTTTGGACCACAGCTGAAAATAGAATGTCATTAGGCACCAACATGGTAGCCAAGATTTTTCCCATTTTGGGCTCTAAGACAGGCAGGTGGGGTACTGCCTCAAGCACCTTCTTTAAGGAAGTTCTGAGGTTAGGTCAGAGGACGTCTTGTGTCAGCCCAAGAGAGGAAGGGTAGGGGGCATCTTGGTCCTAGACCAGAAGTGAGAAAGGCCTTTAATCCCAGAGTTTCAACACAATAACCTGAGTTGGGAGACTGAACACAGAATGGCAAGGGGAGGCAGCTTTCTCATCTTTCATCTCTTGCATGTGTTTTAGAATTCACAAAAATTGTTTTTCAAGATTCACAAAACACAGGCTACTGGCATGCTGCTGCCCTCATTTCTATTTCACACAAAAAGATGAGCTCTGATAGGGCAAGTACTTACCTAAATGTATGAGCTAAGCTAAGGGGAAGCTGCAGCTAGAATTAATCTATTCAATTCAACGTAGGCTTTACCAAGTGGCTCCTGTATGCCAAGACCATTTTGGGTGCCAGGAACACTGAAATGATGATCATCTGGTTGTCCTGATTTTTCAAATACTATCTATATGCTAATGATCCCCCAGTTTTTATTTCCATCCCAGACCTGTCTCCCAAATTCCAGCAACCTCCTTGGTATCTGCACTTGGATGTTTAATGAATGTTCAAGCTCAGTGTGTTGGCTGCACTTCTGTCTTCTCCCCGGCCTACTTGCTCACCTCTGTTGATGGAATTCTGTTATTTCAATTACTCAGCTTCACCTCTCCTCCACCCTTTCATGTTTAATCTCCTAGAGATGTCTCTTGGCTCTCTTAAAACTTACTGGATCTGAATACTTGCTACCTCCTTCATTGTTACTCTCTCGGTCCAAGCCACTATTATCTCTCACCTGGGTAACTGTACCCATCTGCTAATGGGTCTCCCTGTCCCCTGCAATCTATTCTAAACCCAGCACCAAATGATCTTTTAAAACTGTAAATCAGTGGTCTCTCACTTCACTCGGAGGAAAACTTGACTCCTTCCAATGTCCTCCAATGAGGCCCAGCATGATCTGCTACTTCCTCCTGCAAGTCTTGGCTCAAACATTTCCTCCTTACGGAGTCCTATTCTGACCATCTTATTTAAATCATCACTCACAGTCTTGCTTCCTTTTCTGCTTTGTTTTTGCATTGTTCTGCTAGCCACACGATTTGCTTATTTGTTAGGGGTATTGCCTGTCTCCTCCCTCTAGAATGTAAACTTCTTTAGAGAAGAGATGCTTACTTTGTCCATTGATGCATTGGGGTTGAACAGTGCCCGACAGGTAGTAGATACTCAGTAATTATTTGTTGAATCAACCACCACATGAGGAAAGATATGGGTCACCTGTCACCCATGCCCACCCCATGGGCCTATCTTTTTGGTAGTGAGGTGCCAGGTCTCCTCTCTGTTTGGCAGGGGAGGGAACACCATGCATCTCAGAGCCCCTTCCTTCCCAGGAGAGTGGCTACTGGAGGAGATGAGCCTGGGGGCCCCAATTCCTCATGTCCTTTCAGGCACTCTGTCTCTGGCCCCAGAGCTCAATATTGACACTTGGTTTCTATCTCCTGGAAAACTTCTTAGGCCTCACTTGACCACAAACTGAGGTTAGCTATGGAAGGAAGGAGGCTGGATATAAATGTCTCAGAACTTCTTGGCGGAACTGCACTCAAAGAATGGAGGAATTAGGGTATAGAAGTAGAAAAAGAAGAAGGAAAGAGAGGCACCGATGTGGATAGATCACTTTAAATCAGGGTCCAGCCTGGAACAGTGCTTGTGTTAGGAAGACAGATCTCAGCCTTGGGGCTCCAGATACCTGCCCTCTGTTTATCTACACCTCTTCTCCCTCAAATCCCACCACACACGATGGGAGGGGCAGTGTGGACAGTGTTCTAATTAATCACATGTATGGACATCTCCAGGGAAGGCTCCTTTTAATTAGGAAGCTGGACATTGTGTGAAAAGAGGAGAGACCCAGACAGCAGTAGTAGGTCAGTCCCAGCACAGAAGGGCCAATTACTCTTCCTCATATCAAATTATTTCCTAAACCTGAAGCTCCATTTCCCCACTCTCTGTTACAGAGCTAACAGAGCTTCCCAGCACGAGCTGGAGAAGGACCTGAGTGATAAGCAGGCAGCTTTCAGAATCGATGATAAATGCCACCATCTGCGAAACACATCGGATGGTGTCAGCTACTTTCGCGGTGTGGAGAGGGTTGATGCGACGTAAGTTGGGCTCCAACTACCTCTATGATTTCGATGTCATTTAATTCATTCTCTCTCCCTTCAAAATGACACAGCTTACATGTTAAAATGGAAAATGTGGGAAGATGTGGGGAAGATGAAAGACATACCCTACTTTGGATCAGTCTTCAGTAAGCATGTGTACTCCTCAGCCAGGCCTTGGCACTTGCCTTCTCTATTGTTTTGTAGAAGAATATTTGCTGTTTACACTTATTGTGGGGAGCACTGAGTAATGTACAGAATTGTGGAATCATTGTGTACAAAGTAATAGGACGTTGTAAGTCAAACTTACCCCCAAAATAAATATTTTAAAAAGCTCAAAAAAAAAAAAAAGGGTGAAAATTTGTTGCTTGTATTTCTAACTATGAAGATAACAGCTACTTGAAACAGAAAAGCCTAGAAAACACAAATAAATGTAAAGAAAAGAAGGCGTTGCCAATGGGCTGGATGCCCTGGATTCCATGGGGTAAAAGTTGAAAAACAACTTCATGTTTTATTACCACTGCTTGTTAAACCAGTGGTTTCTTTGCTAGGCCCCTGGATGCAGTCTTGAGTTAATGGTCTTTTTCCAGCCATTCCCTTAAAAAAGTCAACTTGCTTGATTGAGGTGAAATTCACCTACACACTAAAATGCATTTGGTCCAAGCATACATTTTGGTGAGTTTTGACAAATTTCTGTGCCCATGTAACCATGACCAGGGTCAAGATAAAGAATACTTTTGTCACCTCAAAGAGTTCCCTTGTTCTCCTTCCCAAGCTGACCCCCCCTCCCCCTTTTCAAGTGACCCCCACATGGATTCCCTGTTGTGGGGCTGGTCACCCCCAAAGCAGCCCCATCTCTTAGTGCTCCTGTACTAGGAGCAGCATGTGTCAACTTTGATTTTTAGATTCTTCAAGTGTGAATCAGATTCAAACCCTATGTCCTAAGCGGTCTGCTTGAAATGCCCCTTACTTGGGTTGAGGTGAGCAGGAATCATCTTCTTCTCCTTCTGGGGAAGGAGATGTGCTGAAATCAAACCAGACACTCTGAGCACCTTGCCCTCCATCAAGGGCCTTCTCTATTTCCAGCATGAATTTTTAGCCATTCTTCATGGAATGTCAAGGTATGGAGCATGTAGTGTGTTATTTTGGGTCATTGTGGCCTGAGCTAACACCTTTAGTCAACAGTAAGATTCTTCTTCGATATTCCATCATGTCAACAAAGAAATGCCACCTGTAAACCCACCATGCCCAATGTTAACTATTAGTCCTTCCAATATGGTTCCACACACATAGAGATTTTTATTTTTATTTATTTTTATTTTTTAAAGATTTTATTTATTTATTTGACAGAGATCACAAGTAGGCAGAGAGGCAGGCAGAGAGGGAGGAGGAAGCAAGTTCTTTGCTGAGCAGAGAGCCTGACGTGGGGCTTGATCCCAGGACCCTGGGATCATGACCTGAGCTGAAGGAGGAGGCCTTAACCCACTGAGCCACCCAGGTGCCTGAGATTTGTATTTTTAAAGAGTGGCATTACAGACATACTGTTTTTATAGTCTGTGTGGCTTTTCATTTCCTGATATATCAAAAACACTGTGAAAATACTCTACAACACAAGTTTGCATGCTATATGAATTACCTTATTTAAATGTACCATAACCTATCGCTTCTCAGTCTTTTGGCTAAGATCAAGTGAAATGTACCATAATCTACTCAACTTTTTCTTTACTTTTAGACAGTTAGACTGTTTTAAGTTTTTTAATGATAGTCCTAAATATTGCTGAAAATTAATATCCTCATGTATACATTTTGGCTGCATTAATTCCTTATGATAAATTTCTATATTACTTGCTTTGGCAGCTCCATATACTAACATCAGAATGATGCAGAGAAGATGAGCATGGGTCTTGGGCAAGGATGTCACACAAATTCACAAAACACTCCTTATTTTTAGTCCTAGAGATGTAAAGTAGAACTTTGTGACAATAGTTAATGATACCATGTTGTAAATTCGAAAGTTATTAAGAGAGTAGAACTTAACAGTTTTCATCTGAAGAAAAAATAACTAACTCTGTATGGTGATGGATGTTAATGAAATTTATTCTGATAATCAATTCACAATGTAGACACGTATCAAATTATTACATTGTGCACCTACCTGAAATTAATGCAATGTTATATGTCAATCATATTTCAGTAAAAAATTTCCGTAAATGGAATTTCTGGGTTATACACATGTATTAGCGTCTTGGAGTATGTTGTCCTCCAGCATGGTTCTACCAATCCCACATTCCTGCCTGCAGGAGAGAAACCTTTTAAAAATATGCTCACCAGAAAATTATCATTCTCGACAGTCTTTGCTATTCCGATGAAGGGTCCTTAGTATGTTGCTATTTTTGTCAGTACTCCTTTGATTACTCCTGAGTTTGGATATTTTCTCATATGCTTCTCAGGCCAGTAAGACACATTTCTTATGAGCCACAATACCCATATCCTTCACCCATTCTCCCCCACCCTTGCTTCCCTCCCTACCAATTGGGCAGGGGACTTAGTGTGTGCCCAGGATTTACAGAAACTAAGCAGAAATATAAGGAACAATTAAGAAAAGTTTTAAATAAGCTTTCCTCTGATGTTTACATTTTATTCAATAAACTAGGATTCAGTGATAGGGGGTTTCCCCTTTCACAAAATGAATGATCACCTAGAGACTGTCTAGGCTGATTCATCATTGTCACCATTGTATGGTTCTACTTTTTCTTCTCAGGGTCTCAGTGCCCGAGTCCTGGGCCAAATTTACAGATGACAATATTCTCCGTTCCCAAAGTGAACGAGCAGCCTCTGCCAAGCTAAGAGACGACATTCAAAACCTCTTGGTTGTGACTGCCAATGAGATGTGGAATCAGTTCAACAAAGTGAACTTGTCTTTCACCAATCGCATTGCTGAGACCGCAGATGCTAAAAATAAGATTCAGATTCACTTAGCGAAGGTAAATCAAGAGCCGGTGGTACCCCTTAGCTGACCCAGAGAGATAGAGCAGGGGGCTCTGGGACCACAAATCTCTCACCACTCCCAGAGAGACGCCGTAAGATGTATGGCCTCCTGACCATACAGACTAAGAAAAATTAAAAACAGTACAAAGCACACCATTTATTTTAGCCAGGTAGCCAGGTGTCAAAATGAAATTGGAATCCACTGGTTTTTGGAATACAAAGAATGCACTATGCACTGAAAGGTTCCTAGAATTTAATAGAAACAAAAATATTATGATTAAAGTTTAATGAATCACTGTATGTAGCAAGGAAGTGAATTTATTATTAGAACATATGGTAGGAGTGTTTTCTGTTAAATTATTTCAGGCCCTTTCTCTGGAATACAAAACCAAATACAGGAAACTATTAGGTGGTTCAAAGTGTTTCTGATATTGAACTTTTTAAAGTCCTCTAAGCATAAACATTTTACAATGACAATAAAATGAAGGATTTAAGCAGGATTTGAGTGTTTCAAGATAAACAAGGAGCTCTTTCTTTATTGAGCATTGGTCTTAGAGCTTTTATTATTTCTGTGGATTTATGCTACCTATAGGTTTTCACTTCTTATTTTAAGAACCTGACACAGTCGGCCATGTGTGCTGGAAGGCACCATTATTACCCAATTGAGGGAAACCTTATTTTCTCAGACTGCAGCAATTTAAGTTCCCTTCTCATGGTGTCTTCTTTGGGCAGCAAATATTTATTGGGCCAGACAGTGTGCTACCTTCTGTGAAGGGCAGAGAGAAGTATAATATGAAGTTTGGGTCCCAGGAAGCTTATATTCGTGATCTGCATATATAGGAAAAGCACATGAACAATTAATAACAATAGAAAATTACAAATTGCGATTGCCAGATAACAGATGCAGAAAGTGTCGTTGGGGTTTGGAGAAAGAGGGGAACATTCAGGTGGGGTGATATCTTGAACGAAGCCTTGGGAGGTAGCCAGTCAGAGGCTGAGTTGGGATCTGTTGTGTAGCCTGGCAGAGAAGCTTGCGAGGGGAGCCTGGAGCCACACTGTACAGGACATTGGTGGGAAGGTAATCATTGGGCAGTACGAGGCAATTTTGAAGGCCTCTAGAAGGATAACCTGATGGAGTCCCTTTGTTCAACAAATTTTTATTTAATTCTGCATTAGTTCCCTGGGGCTATCCCAACAAAGCACTGCAGACTGGGTGGCATAAACAACAAAATTCATAAAAAACAGAATTCTGGAGGCTAGAATTCCCAAGATCAAGGTGTCAGCAGGGTTGGTCTCTTCTGAGGTCTATCTCCTTGACTTGAGATGGCCATCTTCTCCCGTTGTTGTCACTTGTTCTTCCCTCCATGCATGTCTGTGTCCTAATCTCCCCTTCTTATAAGGACAACAGTCCTTTTGCACTAGGACCTACTCCAATGACCTCATTTTAGCATAATTACCTCTTTCAAAGGCTCCACCTCCAAATGCAATCACATCCTAAGATACTGGGGGTTAGGACTTCAACACAGGAACTTACTTGGGGGTGGGGAAGAAGATAGAATTCAGGCCAGAACTGCTACATTTGAAGTACAGTGCTGGGTGGCTTTGGGGTAAGCACACGGAACAACACACTGGCCTTGCCATCTTGCATCTTAGAGCCAGACGGGACATGAAAGTAGAAAAGACCAGAAAGGTGCAGAAAGAACTCCTCAGATAAAACATTAAATGTAGCAGAAGGAAGCATTATGTCCACTGATGAGAGACAGGGATGGCTTCACGGGACAGGAAATCCTGAGGGCGGCTTTGGTGAAAGGAGCAGTGTAATGATCTTCAACAGGTTGTTGAACGCTTGGGAGGGAGGTCAAAACTTAAGCGACAGATTTCAGGGCTCCTGGATTGCACAAGTGCTGAATCTGTGAGGTTCCATGAGAGCTCTGCAGGGGAGAAAGGACAGAGCAGAGAAGTGGCTCAAGACAGAGCCTTGCTCTGGGAAGTGGTGAGGGGCAGCTATAGGGAGATGCAAGGAATTAGGACAGTGGTTGGCCAGAGAAGACAAACAGGGCAAGGGTTTCAAGGAGAGGGAGACATTGGGGAGGGTTATTGTCAACTTTGAGAGTACAGTTTCACGAGGGCCACTGGGTCTTGGAGTACAGGGGTCACCTCAAGGTGAGCTGGTCAAAGTGGAGGGAGTGAGCAGGACCACTGTGCAATGTACATAGTTGGGCCTGTGAGCCGGGGGTAGGAGGGTACCAAGGTCGCAGAATAAACAAGAGTTGTCCGAGCATGGGTGAGGAGACCAGGGAGGGATCCAGGTTTATGCAGTTTGGGGGACCCTCCTTTAAGAAAAAAGAACATAAAAGGAGGACTCCAAATCTGCCTGTGGTCTTTCCTTGCAAGTGAGACCCTCAGAAACTTGAACTTGATTTGCTTCAAGGCAAGTCCTCCACTAGCAGGAAAACATCTCTGTGACACTTGTAAGAAGATGAAGAGGCAGAACATACCAATGTGAGGAGGGATGCAAGGGCCACTCGAATCTCAGGGCCTCCCCATTTTTCAGAGTTACGCACACATGTGTACTGGTAAATATTTAATAATCGGCGATCTGGGGGTTGTGGGTGGGAAGAAGACTCCAATTTGTTGAATTTGCTCATTTCTGTGGTGTGACTACTCTCCGCCTGGCAGATTTCACCTGGAGTTAGGAAGAGACACACACAGTCAGCTCTCCAGAGATTCCTGGGGACAGGGCTGGGAGGGAGCAAGGCCCTCAGAGAATCCACCTCCCCCCAGGAGAGGGCAAAGCAAGCCTCAGTCCTCAAATTGCAAGAGGCCTCAAGCATTTACTTCTCTTCCTACAGACCCTGCAGGAGATCTTCCAGACTGAAATGACCATAGAATCCATCAAGAAGGCCATCAAGGACAAGTCTGCCTTCCTGAAGGTGGCTCAGACCAGATTGGACGAGCGCACAAGGAGACCCAACATAGAGCTCTGCCGGGACATGGCTCAGCTACGGTGAGACGGCAGTGGGCCCTGGGCAGGAGGGGCAAGCTTGGGGCGCTCCTTGGGGCCACCCACCAGCCCCATGGTGGCTCCATGCTCTTTATGAAGGTCCTTCTTTCTGCTTTCACACCGGTCATATGGAAGAACCCAGTAACAGTCATTGTGTAGGATCCTTCTTCGGAAGTGTTAATAATTATTAATAACGGGCATGGACTTTTGGTTGGGGAGGACAGTTAAGTTCTGGAGATGGATGCTGGTGATAGGCGCACCACACTTCGAAGGTACTTAATGTCACCGAACTGCACACTTAAAAACAGTTGAGGTGGTAAATTTTTTGTGTTATGTACATTTTACCACAATAAAAAAAAAAAAAGGAAATGATATCAATACTAGATACAAAAAAAAGTGATAATGAATGTGAAGCTTCACTCCGGGGGGCCACTCACAATCTGCCCTTCCCTGGGGTCTGGAGTTTCCAGAATGTCTCTTAAAGGCAGCAGCGTGCATTGCTTGCTGTGTGGTTTTCAAGGCCTGGGACTCAGTCTCAGATAAGGGACTCCTGGTACTAGTTCCACAGGCCCCTTTCTATTTGTTCTCACCCATTGGTTCCCATTGGCCTTTTTGGCATTTAGTATCTACTCTCCCCATTAAGACCACCCTCGTGGTTCCCTAGTCACTTCAGTTTGTTCTGTTCTCAGTATAAGTAGAAAAGAACTGGGCTTCATCAAGCACATCCCCCATATACAAGACTGGCAAAACTCTCATGCTGCCATTTATCTACCCAACACTAGGCGTCTTTTCTTATGATGATGATTTAAACTTTTAGGATGGGCTCATCAGGAACCGGGCAAAGTTCTTTTCCCCCTCCTACGTTCTGGCTGCATTTCCAATTTCCCAATACCTACCAGCTTGCCTTTACTTTGTGGAGTTCTCCCTGGCTTTTCTCAGGTCATGAAATGGTCTCTGCAGAATCAAATCAAATTTATAGCAACTGGAGGAACAAAGGGGCCGCACTTGAACTCCAAATTCTTTTCTGGTGCTGTGGGGAGATGCCACTAGTCTCATCTCCTGCCTGGTTCCTTGATGGGACTCTATCATCACAAGGGGTTGATCCTGGGGATTAAATGGCTTTGAGCCCTGCCAAGGAAGCAAGTGTGGATTTCTTGGAGGGTAAGGAAGATGGTTGTGAGGCCAACAATGATGAAGACAAGAAAGACAGTGAAATGGCAAAAGAAGAGTAGGTGATTATGTATGGCTCTCATTCTGGGCTGAGCCCTGTCCTCAGCCCCTTACACTACCTCATTCAGTATCTGCATTTCACAAATAAGGAAGTGGAGGCAGAAGCGGGTTGCATGATGTGGTAGGTAAAGGCACCGTTTGAGCCCTTGCCTGCCTCACTGCAGAGCCCTATTCAACCAATCAGCTTCTGTGTGGGAAGTTTCTGCTTCCCCATCTTTATACACATATGGTCCTTTTATCATCCCCCCCATCGGGCGGCCGATCTCATCCCACTTCCTCAATGCCCTAACGGAGCGAGTCAGCAAAGCAGGTACTGTATCCCCCATCTCTCTCTCATAGAGGATGAAACTGAGGGTCACAGAGGTGATCTTTACAGCAACCCCCCCACCTGTACCCATGCATGTTGTCTGTGTTGCATGCTAAGAAGCATGTTTGAGCATATATGCCAATGGATTAGCTGCCTTTCTCCTGGTAGATCTGCTGTCTGGGCCATAGCCATATGCGTGTGCACCCAGGCTGGCCACACATTTCCCCAAGTGGGTTCCACAGCACTCCTCTTCCTACCCAGTCCGTTCATTGTTTAGGATTACCTCTCCTCCCCTCCAGAGGCCCATCTGCGGTGTCCACGTGCTTCTGAAGATTGTGGCAGTGAGTACCCAGCCATCTGGCCGGTTAGGATTAGATTACGAATTGTGGCTTTCTGCAAATCTTACGAGGGGTAGCTGAGCAAAGCTTCATTCTCTGAAAGTTTCCGAGGAATCCCCAGAAGTAGGGACAGAAATCTATCAATTGTTCAGCCTGGCATCAGACAAGCCCAGGGCTGCTTTTTAAAAGGGTTTTGAGCAGTGGTCTAATTTGACGTTGGAGTTATCAGACAACGAGGCATTGAAGGTTGCTGCACAGAAACTGAATGATTTTTACTTTTCTCCCCCCTTCAGAGCTACACAGAATTTACTTTCCCTTTGCTTCCCATAGAATCCGTACTATGTCCGTTTCCTCTGCTCCTTTATTGACTTTAGCACAAAAGCGTCCTTTTGTTTCCGTAAGGATTTCTCATCCAAGTATCGTTGCCAAAAAGACCACAGACTCAGGGGAGCGAGGACAGAGAAAAACGGCAGTTTTCATTTTGAGACTTTTATTTTCATTTACAGTGTTCCGAACGGGTTCTTTCAAAAGTAACTCTCAACTTTTTTGGCTCTTGGTGACAGACCAGGCCAGGTTCTGCTTTGCTTCAATAATCTTGGTGCATTTAGAAAAACAAAAAAATGACGGTAGCTTTATTTGTGTTTGAATGCAAAATGTTTTTTCAGTTCTGCAATTCCCCCCCAAAATGAGCGGTTTCAGCAGAACGGCTCTCTGTGATCTGCCAAGAACAAGGAAGCCGAGGCAGAGGGGTGGCCTTAAAAGATGGGTGAGAGTGTGTTTCTAAAGGCACAAACGGAGGGAAGTCCAGGACCTCCCAGGCCTATTCACGCAGCAACGGGAGGCAAGGGAACTAGCTGCCTGAATTTTCTGGATCTTGAATTCCCTTTCCAAAAATAAAATAAAATAAAATAAAATAAAATAAAATAAAATTAAATTAAATTAAATTAAAAATAATCATTGATCTTTCAACATCTGTATTGTCAAAAGTTCCCTCCCAGATAAATTTTCCACTAGGCTAGTGTTTGTCAGCTAGGAGTAAGGACTCATAGATCATTGTGCTCTGTTTCCTGTCTCTGGATTTGGGGCTCCTTCTAAAGCCTTCTTACCAGCGCAGGGGAAAGTGAGAGGGGGGCGGGGTGCGGTTATACACCCCCTCCCCCCACCCTCGGTCAACCCTATCCCCCGCACGGTTGCCACAACCTCCCCACTATTTTATACCCTGGGATCTTTCCAAGAGACTTTTCTTTTTAATCCACCTTGAAGGAAGCAACAACAGAAAGGAGCTTTTAGATCGGTTCTCAGATTTTGTGTTTACCCATCCGAGACCAAAGGGAAATTCGGGCACAGTAGGTTTCAGTTCCTTCCATCGCCCCATGGAAAGCCTTTGTATTTTCCTCGCAGTACAGGTTCTAAGATGAAGGGAGATGCGCTATGTGTTGTTGCTTCTGTGAGTCTTTTGTGAGCGCCTTGCCCCTTGGGGGTTGCGTGCAGGTGTCTTGAGCAAGGACCCCTCCAGCAGGTGTATCTCCTGAGGAGGGCACGCCCAGAGGTGGGCTCTGCAGAGCAGTCCATATTATCTAGACCATAATAGTCTGATCGCTGCGTTGTCCAAGCCAGATATGTTGGCCCTGTTGCCCTGTTACGGTGTTGGTCACTAAAGGTCAAAGGGAGCTTAAGTCCCTCCGAACTGTGTTTCCTTTTTGTAAAATATTTACCTCATTCTCCCTGATTTTAAAAGTAGCATCTGTTCATGATAGGAAAAAACAAAGCAAAACAGAACAGGAAAAATAAAAAATAAAACCCATCTTCCATTCGTTGTGCCATGGAGGGATAATGGAGGTTAGCATTTTGTTGTACTTGACACCAGGCATGTTAACAAAATTGTGATCACGCTGCCTTTGTGATTTTCTAACCTCACTTTGCCTTCCTGCCGTCCTTCCCTACCTTCTCCTTCCCTCCCGCCTTTCCTTCCTTCCTTTCTCTCTCTCTTCCTTCCTCAGCCTCTCTATTTCTTTCTTTTTTAAAAATTATTTATTTATTTGAGGAAGAGAGAATGAGACAGCATGGGCGCATGAGCAGGGGAGGGGAGTGGAGGGGAGGACAGGGGAGGAGCAGTGGGACAAGCAGATCCCTGCTGAGCAGGAAGCCCTACTGGGGCTCACTCCCAGGACCCTGAGATCATGAGCTGAGATGAAGTCAGACACTCAGCTGGCTGAGGCACCCAGGCACCCCTATCTTGACGTTTTCAGTCAACATCATATTGTGAGTTTCTTCTCCCACCTCAAGTACAAATTCTCTTTTTTCCAAAGTGTTGCTTGCCTGGTTTCCATCATGTGGCTAGAGCATACATTATCATGGGGTATGAATGCTGTTTCCTCTTGTTTTCTCATACTACGACGCAACACAAGGTAACACTGCGAAGAAATTATTCCTTTATTCTTTGGTGTCAAGCGTTCCACCGTATTTCCCCCTGCAAGTTGTCTTGTTCAGTTTCACAAGATCGAGATGCAGTCTGATGTTAAAATGAATTCAAGGAATTTATAGATCTCTATGGAGTCCAAAATGAGAACCCCCTTCTCTACCCTCTAGTCTCCACTCCACTCAGCCTAAGCTGCGGCTTGTGAATTGGTGCATCTCCTTAAAATTGTGTCTTTAGGGGGCGCCTGGGTGGCTCAGCGGTTAGATTCTCTGCCTTCAGCTCAGGTCATGATCTCGGGGTCCTGGGATCGAGTCCCGCATCGGGCTCTCTGCTCAGCGGGGAGCCTGCCTCCGCCTCCTCTCTCTCTCTCTGACTGCCTCTCTGCCTACTTGTGATCTGTCTGTCAAATAAATAAAAAAAAAAATCTTTAAAAAAAAAATTGTGTCTTTAGGAAGAAGAGAGCACGGAGGGTTTGGGGTAGAAAAATTTCTCTTTGGTGCCACTTTAATATTGCGTGAGAGCCCACTTTGTGCTGGGCACTACACGGGCCTTGTGGTGGGGTTGCCTGATTTTGCAACCAGGGATGTCCAGTAAAATTTGAGTTTCAGGTAAACAGTGAATGATTTTCAATACAGATATATCCCAAATATCCAGAGAGACGGAGAGTAGAATGGTTATTGCCGGGGGCAATGGGGTATTAGTTTTTCATGAGGACTGAGTTTCAGTTTTGCAAGATAAGTTTTGTGGATGGATGGTGGTGGTGATTGCACAACAGTGTGAACGGAGGGAAGGCTGTGGGAACTGTTTGCCCAAAAATGTTTAAGACAGTAAATTCTCTGTTGTCTGTCTTTGATCACAATTAAAAAATACTTATACTAAAACAATTGCACATGGATCTGAAATTCAAATTTAACTGGGCTTCCTGTGTGTTAATCTGGCCTCCTTACACGGTGGGGATTACAATTAGAAATGGTCTTACCCAAGGGGGTCCTGGATGCTGACGCCAACATGCTGGGTCTCTGCTTCTACCCTTTGCTTGCAGGGAGCTGACATGGTAGGGGCAGTAAATGGGACCCAGATCCTTATTATGGCCAGTGAGACTCCTTATTTCCTTCTTAGCTTCCTGGATAACCATGCAAAGCTTATAAACACATGTGGGCCGCGTGCCTGTGGAGACGGCAGGCAGCTCATGGGTCTCTTGGCTCAGTTTCCTTGTCTGCGAAACAAGGAAGCTGGGCCTGATGACCTCTCACATTTATTTTCCAGCTGCAGAGTTCTGTGAAGCCAGACAGTTGCCTGGGTATAATAATGATTTTAACATGACTTGGAAATTTTTCTATAATGGTGAAATCCCTTTCTATCCTTAGGGACCCACATATCTTTATGTGGTCATCGTTGCTATTCTCTTTACATTACTGTATGCTTTATTTTTTTTATTTTTATTTTTTTTAAGTAGGCTCCATGCCCATTGTGGGCCTTGAACTCATGACCCTGAGATTCAGAGTTTCATGCTCTACTGAATGAGCTGGCCAGGAGCCCCTGTATTACTGTATATTTTAATTAATTCCATGCACCTCCAGTCTGTTGATAAATGAATTCCCAAATAAAATAACTTAATAGGGCGCCTGGGCGGCACAGTGGGTTAAGCTGCTGCCTTCGGCTCAGGTCATGATCTCAGGGTCCTGAGATCAAGGCCCGCATCGGGCTCTCTGCTCAGCAGGGAACCTGCTTCCTCCTCTCTGCCTACCTGTGATCTCTCTCTCTCTCTGTCAAAAAAAAAAAAAAAATCTTTAAAAATAACCTTAATATTGAGTCAATTTGATAAATTTGGAGTTGTGTTTTCGGTTGACTGGAGTTAGGTAGGGGAGCAGCGTGGTAATTAAAAGCAGCCGATGGGTAGTTCCATGCAAAACTCTAAATTCCTTATACCTCAGTTTTGTCATCTGTAAAATGGGGATAATCATAATATCTACTTCATGGTGTTATTATGAGGATTAAATTGTCTGATCATGTAAAGTACTGAGGATAGTAAATACGTACATATTTATATATATACTACATGTATAATGTGTATATATATAATAAAGTAGTTAATAAGTGTGTTGCTGTTATTACTATTATTATTGTCTTTTTATATACTGTTTCCTAATTTTTTTCTCAAGTGACAACATAGTTATCTCTCCACAATATATTTGGTCAAATCAGTGGGTAAAGGAGAACCTGCTTAATTGCTCCCTAGGAAGGGAAGGCTTTCTAAATATAAACACAATGGAAGAAATCACAAAGAAAAAGAAAGATTTAGCTTACTGTAAAAAATTGAAATCTTACATATAATAAAAACATAATAACTACATTTAAAAAGGCAAAAAACAAATTAAGGAAAACATTTGCCAGAAGCAAAACAGAGGCCCCCCCCCCAAATCAATATGCCTAATATGGAAAGAGCTCTTTGCAAATGAGTCAGATAAATAGTAATAAATCAGTAGAAAGGAAGCAAAGGAGAGAAGCAGTTCACAGAAGAAATGACGCAAGCAACAAGACCAATAGACACTTAGGAAAGGTTTGCTAATAATCAGAGAAATGAAAATTGAAACCATATTGACTAATATAATTGGAGGAGATGCTATACGTTTTTCCATGAAATGAATTTTTTCTTTTGTCTTCATGAAAAAATGTGCCATTTAAAAAAAAAATCATCACAAGGTAATTAGAACTACAACCCGTTACACCCTCTATGGAGCTGATTTCAAGCCTTATCCTATTCTATTACATTTTCGACAATTACAAATATATTCAGTCTGGGAACTTGAGGCATTGCCTTAGGAGGTTCCTGGGGGATAGGGGCATTAAAATTTCAGGAATGTCCCATTTGATAACCCTTCCCACTGCCATTGTGCTGAACTCTAGCCCCTGAGTAAACTTGGGTGTCCCCTTCTTCCTAACAATGAAAACAGTTTTGATGATAAAAAAATGTAAGGAAATCCAGCAAAACTTTGATTTTTCTGATTTGTACTATTTTTTAAAAAGTCACATTTATAAGTTTTTCCTTTTTATTTTTATTTTTTAATTATTTTAATTTTTTTTAAAAAGATTTTATTTATTTATTTGACAGAGATCCACAAGTATGCAGAGAGGCAGGCAGAGAGAGAGGAGGAAGCAGGCTCCCTACTGAGCAGAAAGCCTGATGCGGGGCTCAATCCCAGGGCCCTGGGATCATGACCTGAGCCAAAAGCAGAGGCTTTAACCCACTGAGCCACCCAGGCGCCCAAGTTTTCCCTTTAAAAAAAATATATATATAATAATTTAAGTGTGTGTGTGTGTGTGTGTGTGTGTGTGTGTGTGTATGACAACTTGGTGGTAAATTTGATGGTGTCCCTAAAATATGCTTAGCTTGCCTTTTGGATTCTGGGCGTTGTTATTGGGAGTGGCGCTGGCCTGATTCTAGAACACCAAGGAAGCCCAAGTATTGCTTCCTCTGCTCATTTGTTCTGACACTGGGATGACCCCTGTGCCGCTGGGGGCTCCCTGTGCACTCAGCCCAGCAGCCACCTTCCGGCAGGAATTCAGTAACCCTGCAGGCCCTTAATTCAGCCCATAACCAGCCTCCAGAGTGTGATTTCCACTAACCTAACCTGGTGCTTCTTTCCTCACGCAGCCTTGTTAACGAGGTGTACGAGGTAGACGACACCATCCAGACCTTGCAGCAGCGTCTGAGGGACGCGGAGGACACCCTGCAGTCGCTGGTCCACACCAAGGCCACCTTGGAGCATGACCTGGCGGTCAAAGCCAACTCCCTCTACATTGACCAGGAAAAATGCATGAGCATGCGCAAGACCTTCCCCAACACCCTCCGGCTGGTGGGCTTCTGTTAGGGGCCCCGCCTGGAGCCGGCAAAGTGGAACCACAGCCCTGTTGCAGTTAATTTAAACAGAGTGCTAATATAGTCACTTATTAAAGGATAGTGTTGATAGAAATGTACCGGTGTGCTGTCTCAGAGAATCTGTTGTTTACATCCAAACCTTCATTTTCTACTATGTACTAGACTTCTGAGCTGTGGGAAGAATATAAAGAAATATAATCAATCTGATAGAGAAGGTAAAAAAAAAAAAAGATTATCTGTATTATTCTTGTTGTCGCCTCTGTAACATGAATGGGCTGGAAAGGAGAAATGTATTTCTTCTAGGTAGGTGGTGGGGGCAGGCATCACGAATAAGGTGGATTTTCAGCTCTGTCTGTAAGGAAACCCAGAGGAAAGGAGAAAGGCCCTTGGGTATGTGGTGGTTGGGGTAGTCTGAGCAAAAACAAGGGTGGAAAAGCGCACAGGGGATTTGGAACGATAGTAAGGAGACTGGTTTGACTGTGATTCATAATTCCAAGGGTATAATGTGGGGAGGTCTTTATCTCCAGGTCAAGGAGTTGAGGGGAGCTGACAGACTTCTCTGAGCAGGGAAATGACTGTATGAAATTGTGATCAGGCAACGATATTAGAGTGATAGCAGTAGAAACAAAGAAAGGAGAAATGCAAAACATATTCTAACCAATCAACAGGGCTTGGTAACTCTTTCCAAGGGAACCGAGTGCAAAGGGGTCCAGGATGGCAGAGGCGTTGACCCTAGATGAGTTGCAAAATGGGGCATTGCTTAAATTCCAGGAGGTCCTGTGGTATCCCAGGCGTTTTTGTTTAAAATAACTTTTTCTTTATTATAAATGAAAAACATTTGCATGACATATTTTGGAAATGAAAACACACACACACCAACTCCTAAGATGCACAAGTTATCACAACACCCAGAAATGATCACTGAGGTCTGTCAACATTTTCTTTTCTGTGCTCTCAATTCCTTTGCTTTGACTCTCTGTGTATACGTATAATATTTATCTACACATGTGGGTAATAGGTAATGTTTATGGTTATTTCCATATATAAATATGTCACTGGCTGTTTATCCACAGCATCATTTTTGAAAATCTTTCCTTTCCACCTCCAAAACCCAATATGTTTTGCTTGTGGGAGCTTGAGAAAATACAGACAGAAAAAAAAGAAAAAAAAAAAAAGAAGAAAATAAATGTCTTCTATTTTTCTAAACTAGGTACTTTGATATGTATAGATTTTTATTTCTGTACTTATACACTGGTGTTCCTCTCAAAAATCGGAATCATTCCAAATAAAGTAGCTAGTACTTATAAAACACCTAGTATGTGTCTGATACCGTTCTCAGTACCTTATTCACCTCAGCCCATTTATGCTTCTGTGCTGAATCCTCCTTACACTTTTCATGTCATTAAATAGCTTTTCACAACTTCATTTTAATGGCTTTTTGACGTACCATTGTAAGGAAGTTCTAGAATGTTCTATAACCAATTTTTTGGGAAAAAAGCCTTTATGGAGTGTTGTCATTTTGCCCTCCTGAGAGTTGTGTTACTCTGCACTCCTACCAATAGTCTATGAGAGGGTGAGTCTTTCTGCATTTTTGATAACTTGTGTGTGTGTGTTTTTTTTAACCATTTAATAGTATAAAAATGGTCTTAACTGCTTTAACATCTTGTTCTTTGGACACCATTGATGTAGAGCACTGTTCCCTGGGTCCTTGAATTTTTTCTGCTAATTGCTTGTTTTTGTTATTTTCCTATTTCCCCCAAACAGGAAGGGGAATTTTCTTTTTTTTTTCTTAATCTTTTTTTTCCCATTTATTTGTGAGAGTTCTCCATATATCAATCATAGGACACTTTCGCCATAGGTACTGAACATGGGTTCTTTATACGACACTCACTTTTACATTTTGTTTATGGTTTTTAATGTACAGAGGGTGAAGTGTACAAATGTTTCCATTATGATTTATTGCCTTTGGAGTTACGCCGAGAAAGCGCTTCCTCATCTCAAGATTATTTACTTGTAATTTCTTTTAATTCCTCTAATGTTTTCTGAACCATCTGGAATTCAACCTGATAGGATGTCGACAGCATTTTGACTTTGAATCCTTTGATGCAGAAATCCCGAGATGGGAAGTTGGGATTACCGGAGGGAAAGACTCTCTGCCTGTCTCCTACTTGTCACTTAGGTGCAGCCCCCTCTCACCCATTAGCTAGTTCGCATCTCTCTGTCTGTCCTCTTTACTCCCATCTAACTGCTGTTGATTAACCCCAAACCCCATCTCTCTCTCTCTCTCTTTCTCTCTCTCTCTCTTTCTGTTTCTTAAAAGTTTCTCAGACCTTGATTAGGTCTTCATGAAACTTCATGAAACATCTCAAAATGCTAGAAAAGTTGACTTAAACATGGTGAGCTTGGACTGGAGATAGTTTTGCCGTCTCAATATATCATTTTAGAAATCAAATTGTAGGTTTTTGTCCTCCCGTCGCTTCTAATGGAAACAAAGATCTTTAAGTGCCACTCGAGCACTTAGGCAATAGGGGCAATTAAGCGTTGATGGTCATCACTTTTAGATGACAGTAAGAATAAACAAATTCCACACGTCTCTAAGTTGTTATATGTTTCGGGGAAAATCTTGCTGACTTTTTCCATGAATTGTTACTTTTTTTAAAGACTGTATGCCTGCGGAGTTTATTCCCTTAAACATATGTTGCTGGCATTGCAAGAATGTGATGGGAAGAAAACGCAGTTCAGACACAGAAAAAGCCAGTTTTCTTGTTATTTCGGTAACCCGTGGGCAAGACTAAGTTCCACAAATAAACATTCGGTTGCTCGTCTTAAATGTTGTGGCCGCTTCACGAGGGTAAATATTCTAATGCTGAAATCCACGAACAGCTAAAAAACACAAAGCGTGATCTTGTTTGAGAATCACACGACTGCAAATATCAACACGGGATGTGGCTTTATATACTCAATCCCCAAGTATCTTTAATAGTATGTGGCTTTAAGAAGGGCTGCTGGACCGTCAAAGGCTTCCACCTCCCCAAGCATCATTCAGATTTAGAAATGCGCGTAACTGCCCCAAATAGCCAAGTCACCTATAATTTTAGTAATGTCCATTTATGCTTCCGGGGAAGTGTTTTCATAAACATCTCACCTGGCACTTTTGAGTCTTGAGTTCATGCTGTAAATAGCTGAGGTGGGGTCTGGTTTGAGGTTATAATTTTTGCTTTGCTCCGAAAGCAGGGTTGGAGTCCTTCCCTTTGTACGTCAGGGCTGGCTCAAGGCACACAGGAGGGGGCGGGATGGCTGGTCATTGTCAGCGTCCACTCTACTAGCCCTGACCTTTCAACTGTTTCCAGCAATGCTGGGTTCACCCTTGGCGTGATTGCCAAGACCAGCCTTCTGTGCAGAGTGCTCTGATGGTATTTTTGGAACCCTATATATTCATGCATTTATGGGGAAAAGAGACAATATTTAATTTCTTCACCAGAGCTGGACAATCGATTTCACCTTGCAGACCAGCTCTAGACCTTGGTAGTGTGTATTTATTGAGTGTCGAGTTGAGAAGGATTTGAGGCCCTGAGTGAGCTTGGACAGGTAAGAATCTAGAGGTGCCCTAGAAGACTGTTGTCTGCAAGGGGTCCAGGGCAGAGAAGAGGCAGCACAAATACAGTTAGCTTTTCTCTAAGTTGTTCTGAATCCTGTTCAGCTCAAATCTTTCTCTGTCAACATCTAGAAGTTTCTGCTTTGTGATCCATAGCTCATTCCCTCCGGATCCTGTTATTGCTAATTTTGCTGGGAGCTAATAGAAGTCCCTTTCTTCGCCAACTTTTTCCTTTTAGAAAAAGGACCTTCTAAAGAGCTCCCCAGGACCAAAATGCAACTCTGGTGTCTTCATGGCACAGTGAGGAGGGAGCTTGTTGGGGAAGAGGGAGCCTTTTACTGCTGTTATGAATGCTATCTCATTGTGTATGGATGGACAGAGCTGTGGGAACCAAACAAATTCTTTCTTTTTCTCAGTTACTTTTTCCTCCTCCCTGTAAGGTGAAGTGATAACTTTGAACTAAGTTTCAAGGCTCTCGTCTCGGGTATTTTAGGTCTTCAGTCACTCAGACATAAGGAATGCTTTTCCTACTCCCCCGACCCCCATCAAACGGTCCTCTGCTTGCCTGAGAACCTGCTCTTTATGGAAACCTATGCCTTCACTGATAACAAAAATTGTTATATGTTTTAGGGGGTATCCAATTTATTTGCAATAAGCTGATCCTTTCCACCTTTCAAACCCAGGCCACTTGATGTGTGTCACAAAGATGGAGGCTCTTTAAGAGAGATGAGGTCAGGCAACCTGAGGGGAAAATAATAAGCCAGGGCCACAGACAAGACTTAAAAGCACCATCTATATCACAGAATGAAAGATTAAAGCATTGACACATTTATTTATTTATTTATTTATTTATTATTTATAAAGATTTATTTGTTTATTTGAGAGAGAGAGAACATGTACATGAGGAGAGGGAGAGACAGGGAGAGACAGAGAGAGAAGGAGAGAGAAATCCTCAAACAGACTCCCCTCTGAGTGCAGAGCCCGACACGGGACTCAACCCCAGGACCCTGAGATCATGGATCATGACCTGAGCTGAAACCAAGAGTCAGATGCTCAACTGACTGTGTCACCTAGGCACCCCAAAGCATTGACACTTTAAAATAATGCTGGTAGGGGCAACCAACTTTCTCATTTTCTTAAAAAGTAGATGTAGTAGATATTCTCAGGATCTTGGGAGAAAATAACCATACCTCCAAGTAGTCATGACATTGCAAAGTCCTCTCATTTCCTTGACTATGGGCTGACTTTCTGATCACTTGACCCAACAGACTGCAGTGTAAAACTGTGCCAATTCTTGGCCAAGCCTTGAGAAGGCCTGGAAGCTTCTGCTTTTACGCTCCTGAGACTTAGTTGCCATATAAGAAGTGGGACTGCCCTGAGATCACCATGCAGTGAAGGAGCCCAAACAGCCACATGGCGAGGCTCCTGTGGAAAAGGACTTCAGCCAATAGCTGCAGATGGGCTCCTGGGGAGGCGACATGAGCTGCCAGTCATATGAATGAG